ATAATTTTTTTAAATATTTTATACAGTAATAAGTTTGTTCGATTATAATCAATAGATGAAAAAAAAAATTAACAATACCTTACAGTTTGAATTTATGTAAAACCTTATACCATTTTCCAAGTATTTGTATTTGCATCATCGTATGCGTATAAAGTATTTTTTATGCGTATTATTTGCATAATTTTAAAATTTCGTGTGCACAAATACCGGCATATTATACATTTTCGATGCATATTATGTACCTACTTTTGAAAATGTGTGTGCATAAGTATGTACATAATTTACAATATTCTTTGCATACAAATCCGGGCCTTAATAATAATATTACTAAGGTTCGGTTTTTTATGAAATTGTATAGGTTTTTCTTTTTACCCAATTCAAATTCGATTCATGTACTACTGAATCAAATAATACTGTTTTTATTTTTCATATTTTACATAAATTTTATGGTTTTGTATTTTAAACGCACATTTTGAAATTTTATGAATATAAATGCGTATTTCAATACGTTTTCAAACTTTTTTAAAAACAATTTAAATTAATAACGAATTAATATAAAGTAACAAAACATACGATTTTGAAAAAATTAAAAACTTTATTGTATTACACTATAGTGTTTTTATTGTAAATCAATATGTAATATTAAAAAATATAAATGAAAAGGACTGACATATTTCGCACGTGGGTACAGCCACTGTTGTTGGTGGAAAGTTGGGAATGTAGGATACAGACGGAAATTTAATGTATATCTGTAAATAACGATAAACCATTTCTAACGAAAAAAACGATTCTGAGCGGAGTTCAGTTGATAGTGTTGCTTTGTCAACAATACAATATTATGCTAAAATGATTACAACAATGTGCGTTTCCATGACAATAATGATTGTCTGAAAAAGATTAAACTAATAAAAACTTAATAATAACAAAAAATAAATAAAAACAGTTGCCAACAGTTTTTTAACCTTTCATCCTTCAATCTTCATTAACCTAAAGAACTGGGTTTTCACATTACCTCGAATATTAATGAGAATTTTAAAAAATGACATCTCTGAAGTACCGTCTAGAGAAAATTTAATTTCAGAAAAGGCACTATACTTGATAATCGGAGTATGTTTTATCCGGTAGAAAAAGTGTTCACAAAAAAAAAAAAAAATAATACTCGTAATAATAATAAATAAATATCGTAAAACCAATACATTTCTCGTTCCATTCAGAATACTATTGGTCTCTAATAAAAATTATATACTTAAGGTAAAATAAATTTTTTCTTTTGCACGTTTTGATGTTTTTATTCACTAAAAATGTATATTTTATGGTTTTAAGTGCATACTTGGTAATTCTTTAGTGCATAAATATAAGAGATTGAAAAAAAAAAAAAATAAATAAAAATACAGTTAAATTACTATTAAGCCGGTCAAGCGACTTTCGAGTTGGACGTGACGTTATATTATTATGTGCACACGACGTATTACAATATATCGTAATTGGGTATTATCGGGCTATATGATATTATTCTATCGGGTATCGCCGTGTGGGTCAAACGATAACATTACGACGGTAACAATAACGATAGTAACAATCGCACGAATAATGTTTGAAGAATACGACGTTTTTAAATTCTGAACGCGCCGAGGAGCGTATCGGTTTTACTGCAGCGACGCGAGCGATTGTTGTTTGAATTTTTTCCTCTTTCATCAGCAAACGACTTATATGTTGGAAAATATTTGTACCGATTATCAAGTGTGGCATATATTATTGAATGAGAATTTTATCTGCAATTAGTGCGTTAGAGAGGTGACATTTTGGTCATCCTCGCGGTTTTCGTAGCGATTGAGAAAACCGGGGAAAATGTATATAAAAAAAAAAACAACAATTTTCTACACAACACACACATAAATGATTGAATTTTTTATTTTAGGTAATTGCTGGATGAAGACGTACGAAGACATCGGGTAGTGACGACTACTTAATAATTTATGATCGCCAAAAATAAAAAAATAATGGGTTACCGTGTATAAAATATATATTTAGGGCTTTGATAAAAAAAAAAAACGAATATCCATTTAGGGGGCCGCGACAGTAAAAAGTTGAAAAACGCTGGTTTGGACTTTGGTTGGTCATTGCAAACTGCGGTAAAATAATAAAATCTAATCAATAATCGTTTATTATTAATAATTGTGTGAGCGATTAAATTTCACGTAAATTACTAACATCGAATTGTCGCCGAAAATCATTGTTGCAAATACTTCACCACGAAATCTGTTGTTATCTTTAGAAATATTGTAGACCCGTAACACCGACTTCCGACCCGATACCATGCTGATTTTGACGGTTTTTGAATTTTTCGAATGTGGGGTCCCTTAAACCAAACGCTAAAACGCTCCGGAGTCATTTGATGCGCTGTCGCACCATAGTACAGCACCGATATATACCTCGCTCCGTTCAGTATAATATCTAAAACCAGTTGTGCCCCACTCTTCCCCGAAATATGTTTGTGAGTTTTTTACGAATTCTATTTAAGAAACACTACAGGACGGCGGCAGAGGCTTAATGGAATGACCACTTTAAACATACATAATGACATTGAAGTTCAACCAGATTCAATGCTTGATGAAATGACGGGGCGCTCTACTCGAAGAATATTAATCTTAGACTATAAATTATTACTATTGTTATTATACTATGACTCGTGAGTAAAGTATATTTAAATACATAGGTATTTAATATAATTTTTTTTACAACATGCTCCGTCTGTATAAATGAAATCTAAACGATTTAAAGATTTTACTCATATTCCTAATTTAAATTTATCCCCTCCATCTCACCAAACACCATTAGGAATTTTTTTTATGAATTCATACCCCCCTCCCCTCCCTCTTCCCCGAAAATAAATCCCGGTTTCGCCACTGTCTAAAACGACAGCAATATATCTGTAATATATCTACAATGCTTTCCGGAATCACGAACAAACCGATTTTCGATAGCGTTTTGGCCTCGAAACCCTCGAAACGTATTATATTTCGTGACGACGTACGCGATGCGGTCGCATTGTGACGGTACCTGGTATATACGGAACTCGTATGCTATATGGCAAACAAACAACTCGTACAATCAAAACACGCGTGTGCTAGAGATTTCAATTTCGGTTTTGACGGACAGTAATAATATAAACAGGAGAAACCGAGAATTCGGCTCAGCAGGGCGCGTACTCCGGTAGCGCGGCGCACGGTCCGTTTACCCGGGCGGCGCACAGCGGTCCCACTTGTCACTATAACGTCGCCGCCGCCGCCGCCGTCTCGGGGATATTTATTTTTACATTTATTTTTATTTTTTTTTTTCTCGTCTTTTATATTATGTATAGAAAATACAGAAATATCGTTATAGTCGTACGCGGCTTAAACGACGATAATCATCTTGCCGACTTGAAAATGGAATCGCGTCCGTCAAAGCGATTCGGTAAAATAACAATAATTTACATTTTTAAATTGGGTTCCGTGTATTGCATGACTTGTAGTAGGTAAAAGAACATCGCATTATTGCCCATCTCGGGCGCCCGACGTTTTTTTTTTTTTTTTTTTTTTTATTTTTTTTACCCAACGGCGCCCAGGATTTCGCGTTCGGTATAATAGCAGAGAAAAACGCCTAAACGTTAATCAAAGTCCACCTGTATATTCTGGTATTTTTTAACNATTGCATGACTTGTAGTAGGTAAAAGAACATCGCATTATTGCCCATCTCGGGCGCCCGACGTTTTTTTTTTTTTTTTTCGTTTTTTTTTGTTTTTGTTTCTCTTTCGTTCGAAACAATAATTATTATTTCTCTGACTTACGGGCCGAAAACTCGAACGACGCCATGGCGTTGCCAACATTCCACCACAAAAACGTGTTCGTGTATTATTATATTACACATATTCACACTAAAGCTTATTATAATATTTTACAAAGTTCGTATTGGTTTTTTTTTTTATTTTTTTTACCCAACGGCGCCCAGGATTTCGCGTTCGGTATAATAGCATATGCAGAGAAAAACGCCTAAACGTTAATCAAAGTCCACCTGTATATTCTGATATTTTTTAACGGGTTTTCCGAACGGTCCGGTGTGAAAAGAAAACAATCCATATATTACTCCCAGAGACACCATTTTTAATATTTTGTTTGACTAATGTACATGTGACAAACGGGCCGAGATCTCAAAGCGGAAGAAAGAATGTGAAATGAGAACAAGGGCGGAGTGAGAACCGAATTTAGGCCGGGAGATTAAAATGTAATTAGTCAACTCAAAAAATACGTACCTACAAAAACAAAATTTTCTCGCGTTTTAATTCTAACCAGTGGCTATTATACTTGAGATATGGGTTAAGATAAGAAAAAGGGAGGGAGGATTGACCCCCAATAAATTTAGAAAATATTTTTCGTCAATATGCATTTTAATGTAATATTTTTAACGAAAATATATTTAAAAAAAAAACTTAATAGGTACTGACTGATATAAGAATATAATATATGAGTCTAGGCATAACTTTTTAAATAAAACAAATAAGTAAAATATTATACAGTGTCCTACAGTGCTATCCTAACGCTAATAATTCTGTCAATATTCATTTTATTTAAACCATTTTTTTTTTTTTTTAATCGAGTTTTATGCCAGGGAGATACATATGTAGAAAACATTTTTTAATAGAATAACACGTTACGCAATAAGAAATCACAAACAGCACGGTAATTCCTTATCTTCTATTGAATATTAATTGTTTTCCAAAATTTACATTTTCAGACTGACTACTCCACCACTGAATGAAGAAGTCAAAGATGATAGTAATTATAGTATAATAATAACATTTTTAATTGTTAATCAAGTTGTAAAAGTGTATTGTTTTTCAGACTAGGTAACAATATAGGTGAGGTATTAAAATATTTTAGATGCGGTATTATACCGATATAAATCTGATATTATATTATATTGGTTTAACTAAAATCAATTAAGACTAAGAAATATAACTGTTATTTTTTTTTAATTGGTTTTTTTGGCGTTTTCAAATCTCCCAATTTTTTCCTAAAATACGAAAAGTCCACTTCCTTTTCCTTGGCAACGGCATTTGTTTTACTTTTATACTGTATCGTAGGCGATCTTTTGGTTATTTCGATGCCTATTTTTTCCATAATGACTTCCAAAACGTAAATTTTCTCATCGTATGTTCCACCCATGCCAAACACCATTTTCGTTAACTTTCTAGCCAATATGTTGAACTTGCCGTGGGTCAACTTTTCTTCTAACAAATGTAAAGTCATAGTATTATTGGATTTTTTACACAGCACAGGCACGATTTGTTTGTATACGAACACCATGAGTCTGTCGATTTGCAAATCAGCATGCTAAAAACAAAAACAATTATATTTAATGTTATTCATTTTAGCTGTACCTACCTATAATTCGGAATAAATACGTTTTTAAGGATAGTTTTAAGTGGCATTGGGTAGATTTTGTCAGTGTCTTCCACTTTTTTATAATTATTTTTGACGAATTCTCGCATTCTCTTCTCAACTTCGTTCCGGTAAACGTTTTCTGTTAGCATTTTATGTTCTTCGGCGTTCAAATATCCGTATTTCACATCGTCTGTTAAAAATGCCAAAACCAATGATTCTATTTGGTTTTCACTCGTATTTTTCGCTATCAATAACCGTTTCGGTATCAAATTTATATTATTCAACGACTGCAGTCTTTTTACCGTATTTTGCGAGTATGCCAAAATTCGATCTGAAAATTATACATTTCGAAACAGTTACCTATTACTTATCGTCCTAATATGTTAATTTTAAAATATTCTATTCTATAGTTTTGTATATACTCACAACTCATTCGTCTTTTCGCATACTCGAAAACTGTTCTTCTGTATAAACCACTAACAATATACCACACGCTATCGTTTGTGTCGAATTCACATTCGAGTATCATTTTGACCAAGTCAAGTATTTCAAGTGCCGTCGCCGACTTTCCGATAAGGCGCTTGGCTTTTAATACCGCGTCGTATATGTCTTTGTCGTTAAATTCGTAGTCCGTGTCTACACAAATAATGTAAGTAAGTCATTACAATACAATTGTTTTCAAAACAATCAAAATTTAATTTAAAAAGCTGATAAGAAAAAATTATTGTTTAGTTGAAATTCACAAAAATTAATCAATCCATTACAATTAAAATGTCCAAAAATAATAATAGTTCTATAATTATTTAGATTTTGAGCGTGGCTTGAAACATCATCATGTGAAAATGGGAGGGTTATGACTTCTGGGTCGCTGTTTTTAAATAAACATTTATTGAAACATGTTTAACCAAACACAACTCAGGGTCGTTTTCCGTTTGCAATTATTTTCATTGCGTTCAGATATAAAATAAATTGTCCAGGATATCATTTACTGACCCGAGTTATATTCTACAATAATGGCTCACCACCGCTAATAAGTAGTTGTTTAGCTATACTTACCGGTCATTAAGGTTTTCAAAAACTTTGTATCTATCGAATGTGAACCCCGGGCTTGTTTATACGCCAACGCAGCCATGTTGTCATAGACTTCCTCGTGAACCCGTCTATATTCTTCCGGCATATTTTTATCTTCAAAATTTTGATTCATTTCTCTGAGTATCTGGGATTTCCGGTAAATGCATTGGGTAAGCGAATCCCATATGGGTCCTGTCTTCAGGAAAAAATGTCTCCCTGCCTCACAACTGCAAAAGTTTTTTTTCAACCTATAGATTCTTTGCAAATACATTTGGAGATCGCCCATCATACTTTCACGTTCCTCGCAAATCACTTTTAGTTTCTAAAATAACAATTTTTTACAGTAGTATTAAATAAAAAGGAAGCAAACAATATTATTCTCACTGATTGATCTGAATCTATAACGCACTCTTCTTCCTGTGTTTCTTCGATTTTTTCGTCTTCCATTTCTTCTCCATTATCTACGGACAATTCTTTATTATTGTCTTTGATAACGTGCTCCAAACATTCCTCGATTAAATTTTGGTTTTCTACTATTGTTCGATTTTGACGGTTTACTTTATCAAAATAACGTTCAATGTCCTTATTTTGCTTTTCTCGGATCTTTTGGTTTTTCATTTCAATAATTAAGTTCTGTGATTTTTTTTCTTTGCTCTTAATATAATTTATTAATTTTAATCTTTTACCCTTATCTTGTATTTTTAAGTCAAGCAGTGCATTTTTTATTCGCTCTTCTTTTTGACAAGTTTCCATCCCTTTTTTATCATCATTTATGACCTTTTGTTTTTGTATTTCATCTATTCTTTTATTGTATTTTGCTAAACGCGTTCCGTACAATTCCTGTCGTTTTTTTTGTTCATTTTTGCGAAATTCTTTTTTAAGTTTAATTCCGTGATCACCATCACCATCTAGAAAAATTGCGGAGTCATTCGGTTGACTTCTAAGATGATTTAATACGTCGTTCATTATTACGGAATTAATAATATCATCTTCCATGATTTAAGATTAAAATTTAATCTAACCAAAACGAAAGTAGGTACGTATTTAGATAATCCACACAAATATCGATTATATCTTATTGTAGTAATAATATTATTCAATAATTTGTAACATTTCCTTGGCGACGTTTACCAACTCGTATTGTTGATTGCTTTCACAATAATAATTTTGTAAGGGTCCCAAAATCACCCGATGGTCTTCCGAAGGATTCTGAGTGTAGTGAAGATACTATTATCATAAAATAGTAGTTTTGCTTTTAATAAATGTTCCAAAGTAGTTCACGTCGTACCTTAAATAATACTGATTTCTCGCCCGGTAGTAACTTATAATTGAAAAAGATTCCCTGCAATAGTTTTTTCTGAGCATAAAAAAATTTTAAATTATATTCAAATGGACTGTAATTGCTACAGACGACTATTGCGGGAACAATATTGATCGAATTTAATTAAGATTTCCGCATTGTAAAATCACGCGGTTAAATATTAGGTATCACTCCGGTACTATAGCGTCTGTGTACATTTACTGCACCAGGTCGAACTGAAACAGTTGTTTATCTGCGACAAACACGTGGAATTTTCGCGATGAACTTTTACCCCGCGGAACAATGAACGGTACCGAACGTCAACACCGCGAATCGAAGAAGTTCGTTTTTTTTCATGTCGGCTGTTCCGAACAAAACGTAGGCATAGGTTATTTACGAAATACTGCAGAGGAGATAGCATGCTGTTGGCAACACTAAACTTTTGATAAGTATACGAAATAAACTACACATCGGTATACGGACGTCTGTTCGGTTTATTAATTGATCGTATAAAATATTCACCGTGTTCATTATATCCACAGACAATATCATTACGTTCGCGTCGAATATCACTGACGGAAATTCATATGTGTGTGTGTGTGTGTGCGTGTTTTTCTAGAATTTCGACTTGTGTAATATTTTACGGTCTTTTGAAATTAGTGTAAGTATAATGTTTTATTATTTTAACACGTGTTATACATGACGTTTTGATAAATTAAGTTACTATGATGTACTATTTATTTGGCCATAAACCATTAGTCGTAATTAGAGCGCGGATTTCTATGTAAAAACATGTTTTTAATGCATGTATGCACAACCACAAGAGTAAGGTATATCAACGATTCACAGTACAAAGAATCTGAATAACAACATTTTATTTTGTGCATATTTTGAGGTTAAGAGAATATATTGATGCAAAAACAAATTTGTGCATATTTTATTAATATTTTTGGAGAATATTACTAGCATATATTACGAATTTTAAGAGAACATGAGCATCGTATGTTGGCTATTTAAAGAGGATATAAATCCGCGCTAAACCCATATTATAATGATATGACATAGTCTATTTAGAAAGCCATATACTTGTATTAAGGTTATGCCTATTAGCAATTATATAATTATGTTGATTACGACAAGATTAACAGAACAATTTAATATTTTATCAATAGCAACCGCGATCTTGTTTAATCATGAAATATCGATACGCGGTAAACTGATAGGAGAGAACCTGTTAAAAAATCCATCAATAGGTTAGGTTAATCGGTAAATCGGTTAATTTTAATTGTTTATCACGTTATCCCGAAAAACAGGCCTGGGTGCAGGATTTCTTCATGGGTGGAGGGGTCTTAAATTATTAATAAATGGTATAGCATATTTATATAAATTTTTCTTTACGCATAAAACCGTGACGATAACACTATTATAGCGGTGTTTCACTATGGTGTATTATTAAACACGCGTTATTGTGTTTTTACAAATATGTGTACATACAGTTATAATTGATCGAAAGTCAATAATACAAATTATAGTTTTTCGATCATTTTTGTTCATCAGAAGTAAACTCATTTTTATTTTGATAAAACTGTAAAGACGCAACAAACAAAGACAATGAGAGTTTGAATACCCACCCTCTCCCCACTATTAATCATGGGGCTGTCGAAAAATCATCAATTGTGATCGTCTTTGGGAAAGCTGTAGAGAAACAAAACCGAGTAATCAATTCGACTCCTCTCCCCTCTAAAAAGATGGCTAAATACGCTCCCGAATAAAACAAAGGTTTACATTATATGCTATGTTACCGGATATTCGTATTAATATAACGTTCGAGCAGAATTCAATTACGAGTATTTTGTTTTTTATGTATTCACAGTACACGTCTATACAGTAGATGTTACCTGTATACAGCGAAACGACGCAATAATCGAAAAGTTTTACGATCGATTTTGTTTATTTGTTTCTTACGAATTCAACATCGGTGTCGGTGCCGTGTTCGAATACCGTTCAAGTTCAACTGCTGCTGCACGGTGTCACAGCTGCACTATATATTTATACGCATCGAATGATATTATAAAATAAAGAATATAATTGGTCTGCTATATAGAGCAAAAATGTAATCAAAGTTGTTTTTTTTTTCCTTCCCGCGTAATATTGATTTATTTTTACGTCGACGAAGATATGATAATAATAATAATAATAATAATACGGGGAAAAAAAATATACTAAAAAACCGCGATCGACGCGTTTAATCTGCGCGGTGTACTTTAAATTACGTTTACGTGTATGCCGTGAACGCGTTTAATGTGTGCGCGTATTCGATTCATTTCGCCCCGGTAAATAAAGTAAATTTCAAACAAAATAACACAATATCCCTGTAGACGATATTGTGTACATTATTCCTCGACGGTTCTGCGTATTGTAATCGTATATAAGGTACCTAATAGGCATCCGCGGGGAAAAATAATCATACCTTACCTTTATCCCCCGCGGTACGCCAAAGGATGCACCAGATCTGGGAGTTTTTACACCCGGGGGAAAAAAATTAAGAAAATACGCTCAAGGAAGACTTTTTTTTTTTTTTGTAGCTCATTAAAATACGGTTATTATATATAGACGACAATGGTTTTTTTTAAATTTTATTGTCAACAAGATCACTCTTAATCGACCCATGATTCATATCACATGTAGTTTACGTATTAATGCCGTATGGGATGGTATACATTTTTCTACGGGTGTAATAGCCCCTCGCCCGGTCACCCCCTGAAATTCAAATTCTCAAAAATTTCGAATTCAGCGGCGTGACCGGGAATTTTTTATTTGGGGATGCAGTAGACAATAACCACGGTTCGTAAACAAATCGTGGGATCTCTTTACGTTACACTTGATTGGACAATTGGAATTTAAAAGCCGGATCCAGAAAAGCCAATACTTATTTCTGTGTACGCCTTTAAAAAAGCTTTTTTTTTTCGTAACTTGGTCGAAATAATATATAATTTTATTAAATAAAATACTCGTAGTGAGTATTTTTTTTTAAGCCGACGATAGGGGGGTGGGCTGGTATTACCCCTAAAGCCCCTAACTCCCCTTACGCACGCCGCTGGTTTCAATAACGCTATAAGGACGGTAAAACTCCGCGATGGATATTGTTCGGTTATTGTTTAACCGCTCGTCTGGAAAAAAACTTGTAAAAATATAAACACATAATAATATATAAAACGGCATTGTACCAATACAGTATACAATACAATAATACAATATAATACAATACATAATTTAATCTTATTACGGTTGATTTTTTATTTTTCATGGGAACTTTTATCCCGCAGAGGTGTGAATTATCTTTACGGGTCAGCTCGCCCAGCACGTTGACAATCGATATTATTGTGTTGTCTGCGGATAAAAAAAGAAATCAGCTTTTTCACATTCAAGAACTGCTTCGTATCCAACTAATTATTACTTTATTTTATTTGTTCAGTTCGTGTAATTTAGATTGATTTTTTTTCGTGTACTTATTATAATAGAATTGTTTGTGCTAGTCAACTACCGCGTCTTTGACATTTATCTTCCTCATTTTCCTTCTATATCGTCCCTTATACTACGATACGACGAAGACCGTAGTTGCATCCCGTGCGTAGGACGGCCCAATGTCCATCATAACACGCCAACGTCTTGTTTCTATACGGTTTTTTTTTTCTTTTACTTTATTCTATAATATTAAAGAAATATCTCTAAATCGCTTCTTTATTTATTCACTTAAATTTTCTACAGCACCACATTTCCAAGGCCATTTTCGTTGTCTTCCGTAAATCGTTATTAGCGTCCACGATACGATTCTAGAGGTTAATATCAACGACTTTGTAAAAAAAAAAAAAACCTTCCCCGAAAATACAAGTAGGTACCTCCCGTTATTAGCATATCATTCGTAATCGTTACCGCCCGGAACCTATGCTGTGTACACGGATACCGAAAAAACTTGTGACATATTCCGGCGATTCCTCGAGGAGGAAGGGGTAGGGGTAGAGAGGGAAAACGACTGCGGCGGCGGCGGCGGCGGCGAGTCCTTTGCCGCCGAGCATAGTCCGCCGCCGCTGGACCGCCCCCGCAGCAGAAACGACAGCGGCGCGCACGGTCAACCGGACCCGGACAATGCGCTCGCGGGCGATAATAACAAGAAACATCGAAACATCGACGACGCGAACACAATAAAAAAAAAAAAACGCGGTTGCAAATATTGTTATTATTGTTGTACGCGTCATTGTCCCGGTCGAGAGGGCCGAAAAATATCGCGTTCGGCTACCGCGCACAATGAAACGCACGATACCTAACGATACCGTCGCGTACGCATACCTGCCGCGGTGCACAATAAACCCGCGTCGCGGCGGAGTCGCGCGCCCTCTCGACGTCCCGTCGGCCGGATAACGACGTTATGATTGACCGGACCACCCCGTTCGTTCGCCCCCCGCCCCCCCGTATACCGCGGTACGCCACACTACCGCGGTACCCATCGTGCGCCCCGCCCGCCCGCTATTATCGTTTCTCCGGAAACCTCGGCCGCGCGTATTGTCCCGCCGGCCGCCCCGCCGAACGCTCGCGTTATTTCACTGCGGTTCGGACGGACGTCTCGCGCCCGTTACGGTGAAACACACCGCGCCCGGGTATCCGCCGCGCGGCAGACGTTACACCGTCGGACGTTCCG